TCCTTCCTTCCTTCCTTCCTTCCTTCCTTCCTTCCTTCCTTCCTTCCTTCCTTCCTTCCTCTCTCTTTCTTTCTCTCTCTCTTTCTCTTTCTTTCTTTCTTGCTTGCTTGCTTGCTTGCTTTCAGGCTTTCAGGCTTTCAGGACAAGGTTTCTCTGTGTGGCCTGGGCTGTCCTAGAACTTGGGTTGTCGACAGGCTGACCTAGAATGAAGATATCCGCCTGCCTCTGCCTCCCAAATGCTGAGACTAAAGGTATGTGCCGCCACTGAATCATGAAAAGATTTTATTGATCAGATATTTAGTATGAAAAACTTAAACATGTATTATTTTTAATATAATTAGAAAATGTGCATTGCCTTGAAGTACTAAAACAACTTATTTATTTTTACCATTGTATGCATAATCAGCCTTTTTTTGAGACAGGGTTTCTCTGTGTAGCCTTGGCTGTCCTGGACTTGATTTGTAGACCAGGCTGGCCTGGAACTCACAGCAATCCGCCTGCCTCTGTCTCCCGAGTGCTGGGACTTAAGGCGTGAGCCCCCATGTTTGGCTGTCAGTCTAGGTTTTTAAAAATTGCATTAAAACATTAGGTTAAAGGGCTACTGTGTGCTGTCTCTGATATAGCCGGTTTTTCTCTTCTTCTTAGGTGAGGCAGGCAACCAATCAGATTGTGATGAATTGTGCTGACATTGACATTATTACAGCTTCATATGTGCCAGAAGGGGATGAAGGTAAGAGCTCTCTTCCATTTTAATTTGGTACTTGAGAGAGATTGACTGACTCAGACCTTCAAATTGAGACATCAGTACTGATTACTTTAAAATGTGCCAGGCATCAGAGGCAGGAGGTTCCTGGCCAATCTGTTCTATGTGGTGAGGCTCTGGCTTAAAAAAGAACAAAGCAAAGCAAGTGTGTTGGTTGTTTATGGGACTATTAGAATAGTGTTATCTAAGTGTATTCTGAGATAAAGGAAGTGTCAGAATTCAAATTCTGCATGAAACAATTTCTGTTGATATCCTGAGAAATCACATTTTATAAATGTAAAATGAATATAATAACCAGTATAACAAAGTTGATGATGAATTGTTCTTTAAATTAAGTACTTTGAACATGAAAGCTTCATCAAAGGAGCTTAGTTTTAAGTGTATTTTTCTTAAAAGACCTCACCCCTTGAACTTGAGATAGTAAGTTTTTTTAAAAATTTTTTTACTAATTACACTTTATTCACTTTGTATCTCCCCATAAGCTCCTCCTTGAGATAGTAAGTCTTGCTCATAACCAAAAAAAATAAAAAATAAAAAATAAAAAACCCCAACTTTATGAGGCCATGTGTTAATGTTAGAAGCTAGATAACAGTGTTAGTCACGGAAGTGGTCAAGAAGTGTATGCTGTGTGTGAACCCCATCAGCATCTTTAAATGAGAACTGTTGGAGATGGTGTGTAGGTTTGGGGTTCAAATGTTATTTCCATTTAAGCTGAATGGAGCCGAATTGCTTTTTACTTTTGTGTTTATTTTGCCATTCCTTGTCAGAATATTTTATTAGTTACTTGTAGAAAATCTCATTGGACATAGAGTAAGTTAGCGATGTATCTTTAAAATTTCTACATTTTATTCTTTTCTACTTTATGTTATGTTGAAAAGAAGCATACAGGTTTATTTTCAGGTCTGGAGTTTATGCTGTAAGATGTCTTATGGTAGGAAGATGAGGTCATAGTGTTTAACCATACTGTTGCTGCAGGAGTTTGTGAAGTCAAACTACTGCATTTTAAGCTTAGAAAAACAGATTCTTCAAAAGGACTTGAGTGAGTGACAACTTTTGAAAGATTGGTAAATGAAAGAATGATCAATTTCTTCACCTCTGGAGAAAAATGGAAGTACTTGAGATAGTTCCATCAAGGCTAGCTTTTAATTAGAGAACATTTAAGTCTGTGTAGTGTTTTAATGAGGCATGCAGTGTATATAGATATGCAGATAAGTAAAATAAATATGCACTCTTCAGTTGTCATTTTAGCTCACTTAAAAACAAGAACAAACACTTCCTTACCAAACTGCAGGAAAGGGTTTGGGGGTTTCCAGGGTTTGAGTGGCACTGTGCTGGTGGTGGCCTGCACCTGGGCTCACTTAGTGCTCTCATCACTTAAGTAGGAGGGCACTGCATGCTTAAGGAGGTAGAATTTATAGAGAGAGTCAGGGAAAACATTACATTTTTTAGATACTTAAAATATTTCCCACCTGGCAGTAGTGGCGCACACCTTTAATCCCAGCACTTGGGAGGCAGAGGCAGGTGGATCTCTGAGTTTGAGGTCAGGCAGGGCTGGCTACACAAAGAAACCCTGTCTCAGAAAAACAAAAACAACAAAATTCTCCTTCAGAACTAGCTAAGGCACAGTTCCCATTCCTTTTCTCCTATACCTTCAGCAGAAACCCAGAGTCACTTGGAAGCTCATCTTATATTAGAATGGAATTTACAAAATGGTAATTTTATTGATTTGGTATTTTAAGGTTTGCATAAGGAACAGGGATAGATTTGGCCTTTGTGGCGCACACACACTTTAATTTTGCCTTGGACCTAATAGCATTTTATGATTCCTACCTTACAGAAGAGTATGGTATGTTGTTTCTTTAGAAACTAGTGACTATAAATTTGACCCAGCTCTTTTCAGAGCTCTCTTCTGGTAAAAGGGAACATTTTAACCTAGCTAATCTCATCAAGTACTCATTAATATTTATGATTGATTACCTTCTGCAAGATTGATGCAGTCAGGCGTGTTGAAGCATGCCTTTATTTAACCCCAGCACAGGAGAGGCAGAGGCAGGTGGATCTCTGTGTGTTCCAGGACACTTTGGTCTACATAGTTCCAGGCCAGCCAGGGGTGCACAGTGAGACTCTGTCTCAACAACAACAAAAGATTGATTCAGATATCCGAAGTCACTGAATTTTGATGCTTTAAAGTAAAACCAACCAGAAAAGTATTTGAAAGCTTGATGTTGTTGAAATACAAGTTTTTAATTGATGAAGAAAGGCCATCTTGTGAAATGCACATTAGTCCTGAGAGACCATTAGACTCTAAGGCATGGTTAACTTAAAAAAAAAAAACAAAAAACAGAAACTATTTGAGACCTTACTTTCTAATATATATATATTGAAAAATATATTTCTAATGAGAAACCAGTAAGCGAAGATGGCTGAAAACTGTTTTTTTACTGTTCTGCACTTCAAGGGTTGGTGAAGTCACTGGCACTTAAGGCAGTGCAAGGAATGCACCTCCCTGCACAGTGCAGGGTTAGTATTGTCTCAGCCTCTGCAAGAGGGTACGGAGCTTTGAGTGCCTGAACTCAGGTTCTGACAGGTAAAGAGTCTAATAGACAGCTTGAGTAAAGCCCCGTAGAAAATGATCATTGCAAGATTTATGCCAGCTTCTCCCGGAGTGTATTCCACCAGATAATCTGCATGCAGCATTAGCCTGTGAGAAAGGGCCCCTGGGGAAGGAGCTCCGTATGAAGCTCTCCCACATAGGTCCAGATTGACCAGCATTGCTTTGGCTCATCTACATAAGAGCCTAAGTTACATTGTTCTTAAAGTACAGTTGTGTATTTGAATGTGTGCTTATGGAAGTGTGCATGTGTCTAATGTAATAAAAGGATATTGCCAGATACATCACCAGAGCAAATAGTTAAACCTGACAAAGTAGTGGTTCTTCACACTTGATCCAAAGCCCTTCTCTAACTTTTAGTAATGTATTTTCTGTCATTATAATTATGTATAAATAGATAACACTAGCATCTCTTTGAAGTGGCTTATTTAATGTCATTATTCTGAAAATTCACATGGCTCTTAAAATGGGAAGACTAAAAATAAAAGCAAAATAATGCTAAAATGTATGTACTATTTTTTAAAAGATTTTATTTATTTTACGCTTATTAGTGCTCTATCTGCATGCGCATCTGCACACCAGAAGAGAGCAGTAGAGGGAATAGGTGGTTGTGAGCCACCCTGTGGTTGCAGGGAATTGAACTCAGAACCTCTGGAAGAGCCGACAGTGCTCTTAACTGCTGAGCCATCTCTCCAGCCCATACGTATGAACTATTGCAATAGAAAATTTCATGGAGATACTGCCAGTGGGAAGGAATTTGAATGTAACTTCAATTCTAAGATAGAGATGTAGGCTAAGGATTTCCTTCAAGAGTTCCTGTGCAGTCAGACAAACAAGAAAATGACTGAATTGGGCTAGGATTGGAAAAATTTGATGGGACAGAAGATAAACTAAAAAGAATACCTGTCTTATAAAAACATACTCAAAATGTGAAGATACACCTCAGTGGTACATTGATTGCTCTGCATTCATGAGGCTCTGAGAAATTGACCCCAGCCCAGCAAAATAAATAAATCACAATTAAAAATAAATATATTAGCCTGACGTGGTGATGCACGCCTGTAATCTCAGCACTTGAGAGGCAGAGGCAGGTGGATCTCTGTGAGTTCGAGGCCACCCTGGTCTACAAAGTGTGTCCAGGACAGCCAAGGCTAGATGGAAAAACCCTGTCTCGAAAAACCAAAAGACAGACAAACAAAACCCTTAAGTTTTAAAAAAAAAAACAAAAACAAAACAGTATTTAACAGTGTTAAAGATTGAGTTTAGGGCTTCATGAATGTTAGGAAATGCTCTAGCACCAAGATATATTCCCAGTTCCAAATAAAACATTTCTGAAGGCTGCATTGAACTTGCTTAAACTTGGAACTTCTGAAAGAGTCCTGGGAACTGATTCCAAGGAACTGGTATATTACACTTGTTGTTCACCACGTGGACCTCAGTATAAGAAGTGAGATGAGCATAGCCATCTGATTAAAAGTGAGTCGAAAAGGTTTGCTTATTTAGTTAATGTATGGCACGGTGTCTTCTGTAGCGCAGGTCTGCTTTTAGCCCATTGTGTGTAACCCAGACTGGCCTTGAAGTTCAGAGCTCACTGGTTTAAATTGTCAGCTGCTATAAATACAAGTGTGTTTTGCCATTCCTGGCACGGCTTTGAGAGTTATGGACTTTGAGTGAAAACTGACCTAAACAATGTGTAATACACTATATTACAATGAAATGTATTTACTGAGTTGTTTGAACTGATTTGCTGTTTTGCTTCTGTGATACCATTGATAACAAGATTTGAAGACAGGGCAAGATGGTCAGTGGGTCACGCTCCCAGCCTCATGACCTGAGTTGGAGCACCAGAACCCACAGGGTGGCTGGAACCTGACATTTGTGTCTTGGTGTGCACCCCCAGAAAATAATATTGAAAAAATATTTATGGCTGGTGTGCAGTTTAGTGGTAGAGTACTTGTCTAGCGTATGTGAGGCCCTGAGTTTCACCCCCACTACCTAAATAAATAAATAACTATGTTCAGGAGTTATCAGTTAGCTCCTTTTGGTAGATTTCAGCCTGCCTTGTGTGGAGAGGTTGGGCATGTGATGAACTACCAAGGGTAGAGGTCTCGCGCATACTGAGCACTCTGCCACTGAATTCTACAGTGAATTATACAGTTTACTTTTAGAGTGTTTTTGTTGTTTTAACAACTTCCGGCCCTTCTTCAGCTTTCTGGGTGCTGGGGTAGCTTTTGTTTTGTTTATTTTGAAACAGGTTTTCTTTGTGTATCTCTGGCTGTTGCAGACAGGAAGGTCTCAAACTCAGATCCATCCGCCTCTGCCTCCCACCCAAGTGCCGGGATTAAAGGCGTGCGCC